ACTTCTCCAGGCTACTTCAAATGAGGTCATACCTTACAGTTAACCCTACTTCCCTCGAGTTTCTCCTTACTGTTAGGCCCTGTCCCGGGGCCCTCATCTGTCCTTGTTTCCTTCACTTTTGTCTTATGATGCCTTTGTAGACTCACCCTCTTTTTTGATAAATCACACACTTATTTTAAACTCATTGTTGCATTAATCCTTAAAGCAAGTGTACTTTTAAATGAGCCTTGGCATAAATCTTTTTTAAAAAATCTATTTTTTAAATTTTTATTTTTTGTGACCGGGTGTGGTTGTTCATGCCTGTAATCCCACCACTTTGGGAGGCCAAGCAGGGTGGATCATTTGAGGTCAGGAGTTCAGGACCAGCCTGGCCAATATGGTGAAACTCCGTCTCTAGTAAAAAATACAAAAATTAGCCAGGCATGGTGATGCATGCCTGTGGTCCCAGCTACTCAGGAGCCTAAGGCAGGAGAATTGCTTGAACCCAGGAGGCAGAGGTTGCAGTGAGCCGAGATCATGCAACTGCACTGCAGTCTGGGCGACAGAGTGAGACTCCATCTCCAAAAAAAAAAAAAAAAAAAAAAAGATTATTTTTTAATGATATAAATATACATAACGTAAAATTTACCACTTTAACAATTTTAAGTGGCATTAAGTACATTCATATTGTTGGGCAACCATCACCATCATCTATTTTCATAACTTTTTCATCTTCCCAATCCAAAACTCTATACCTATTAAAAAAAAAACTCCCCATTTTCTCCTCTCCCAGCCCCAACAACCGCCATTCTGCTTCTGTCTCTTTGAATTTTACTACTCTTAGGTACTTCATGTAAGTAGAATCATATAGTTTTTATCTTTTTGTGTCTGGCTTATTTCACTCCAGTTTCATCTATGTTGTAACATGTATCAGGATTTCCTTCCTTTTTAGGGCTGAATGATACGCCATTGTGTGTATAGACCATATTTTGTTTATCCATTCCTCTGTTGATGGACACAGGTTGCTTTCACCTTTTGGCTGTTGTGAATAATGCTGCTATGAACGTGGGTGTACAGATAAGGAGTGGGAGATTTAAAAGCACCCTCTTCTTCCTAGGCTGTCGCCACAGTCACATTTGGTAGAGGCTCTACCATTGTTAGGCCATGTTCCAGATGTGGGGATGGTTTCTTCAAATCCTTTCCTGCCCAGGACAAGCTGAAGTCCTCCCTAATTGTTTCTCCTTAAGCTTTTAGCAAATCTACCCAAGCAACCCTGAAATGAATCTGGAGTCAGGAGGAGTAGGAGCAGCCAGAGGTGAGGGCCCATTGGCTTTTCTTTCGAGCTGCAGACAGATTACAAATGTGCAAGTGCAGGGAGAGCCGGCTGGCTGCTAAGCTAAGAAGGGCAGAGAAGAACAAAGCCCCTGACCACCTGGAACAATTAAAAAGAAATGAGTGTGTGGAGTGGGGGAGGGGGGAGGGATAGCATTAGGAGAAATACCTAATGTAAATGATGAGTTAATGGGTGCAGCACACCAACACGGCACATGTATACATATGTAACAAACCTGCCCTTTGTGCACGTGTACTCTAGAACTTAAAGTAAAAAAAAAAGAAAGAAAGAAATGAGTGTGACCCTAATCATTTAAAAACAATAGTAGTGACCTGGAAATAATAGAATCAGTGACAAAATGTGGACATAAAATTTGTCTTCCAAGTTTTCCAAGTGGAGAGGCAAATTTTGAAATGTACTTGCTCTCAGTTTCTGATGGGTCTATTTCACATGCCTCTGTGCTGGAGTGGGAAGTTGTTGCTCCCAACTGTACCCTGTGGTCTAAAAGCTTTAAAAAGAGCTTTATGTTGCTGCAAACTATGGAGGGACCTGCTGCAGATGCCCAGGGTTGCCTGCACTGCCTCGCGCTACAGCCTCTTTGGTCATGGAATGGTTCTTCATTGTCTCAGGAGCATTTGGGGTGACCTCTGAGGGCTGTCCTGTTGTCAAGCTATTCCTGAGAAGCGGTGAGGTTTCCTTCCTAACAGAGGGTTGGGATTCCACTGGCCCTGCCCCAGCTGCACCCCAAATGCCGTCAGCTCAAGCGTGCCAGTGCGCTGACAGAGCTGGCAGGTGACATGCAGCTGTGAAGCATTTGTTGTAGGAACAGAGTCACAGATGGCAACATAGCCCATCCTGCTGCATTGTTCTCTTTACACCATTTTCACAAGGGAGGGGTAGGGTGGGGAGGGGGGCATATTTATAGTTTGTGCTATAAACAAGCTAAGTCCTGGGCAGCTGCTGTCCCTCAGCTAGTTTGACTTTACAGTTTTGAATGTGAACACACACTGAGAGGGTGGACAGGATCTCTCCCTGAAGAGCTGAGGCCCTTTTCTTCTGGGCTTGGGGTCTGGAGGCCCCAGTGGGCATGAGGCACATTGAGCACAGCTACCTGCCTTCCCAGTCCTCCTCTGTTACATCCGATCTTTCAAATTATTAATCTTATAATAATTGTCTTTCAGATCATTATTAATGTTACATTGTTACTAATCATCTCCCAACTCAGAGATAGATCCTCAAAGCTTGTTGACTCCAGGCAGCCTTGGATGGCAGTAGTTTAGCAATGTCCCTGTAATATAGGTGTCTCCACCTCAGGGCCCCTCCCAACCTGCCACTGTGTGATTCTGTGATTCTCCCTCTTCTCAGAGTGCTCCCTAGATACTGGCCACTCTGGAGGTGGTTGTGGGCCACACTTTATGGGCAGTGCATGAAGCAGCAGCAGGTGGCGGGAGAGGCTGGTATGATATTAAGAGAGGCCTCAGCTACAACTCCCGTGGAAGGGAATTTGGCAATATCCAACAAAGTTACATATGTATGGACCCTTTGGAAATCCCACAGCTAGTAATCCATCCAAAAGATTTGTTGGCACAAATATTAAAAAGATGACACTCCAGGTCATTCATTAGATTATTGTTTAGCAGTAAAAGATTAGAAAGTAATCAAGTGTTCATCGAAAGGGAAATGTTTGAATAAACAATGGTATATCCACATAATGAAATATTATGCAGCTGTAAAAAGAAATGAGGAATAATTATATGTACTGCTATGCAGCTATCTAGAGGCTATGTTAACTCAAGTTGGAAAACAAGTACAGTATTTTATTTTTATTTAAGAAAAGGGGGATGTAAATACATATATTTGTTTTTGATGAAAGCATGAATCATAAAATTTAAGGATTACTTAAGGGAGTGAACAGGGTAGAGGCAAACTGAATGTGAAAGTGATAGTCTAAGCTTCAGGGCCCCTTACTCATATAGATCTTTTTCAAGGCCCTAAGAGAAGCCCCTAGTAAATTTTGTATAATTTTTCTTAGAGGCATTGCAATTTAGATAAGATTTCTTCTTTAGACACCTTCAATTGTGCCTCACTTGCAGGAGGTGCCCCCCAAAAAGTCGTTGAATGAATGCATGAAATCAAATATGTTGATGATAGGTCAGCCCCACCACATTTTCACTTTTTGATCCTACTCCTTTTTTCATTTTTTAAAATAATTTTTAAAAAATAGAGTCAGGGTCTTACTCACTATGTTGCCCAGGCTGATCTCAAACTGCTGGGCTCAAGGGATCCTCCAGCCTCAGCTTCCCAAAGTGTTGGGATTACAGATGTGAGCCACCGTGCCCGACCTGATCCTAGTTCTCATGGAGAGAACAGGAATTAGAACCTCTTCCTCTTCCACACACCCTTACCCAGCTTTCAAATATTTGGGGACAGAATGTTCTGTTCTCTAACAGTACTAACAATGGTTCTTCCTGATATATCACTGTGGGGCTCCTTTTAATCCTGATATTTTCCTCTGAACAGGCTTCAGTTTGTTGTTTTTTGGTTTATTTTTATTTTTTAAGAGACAGGATCTTGCTCTGTTGCCCAGGCTAGTGTGCAGTGGCACGATCACTGCTCACTGCAATCTCAACCTCCTGGGATCAAGGGGTCCTCCCACCTCAGCCGCTCAAGTAGCTGGGACTAAAGGCACATGCCACCGTGCCTGGTTAATTAAAATTTTTTTTTGTAGAGATGGAATCTCACTGTATTTTCCAGGCTAGTCTCGAACTCCTAGGCTCAAGCAATCCTCCCACTTTGGCCTCCCAAAGTGCTGGGATTACAGGCATGAGCCACTGTACCCAGCCCAAGCCCATTTTTTAAGACCTGGTAAGGAAGACACAAACTAAAATAGGACCTTTGTTTCAGAATTGTCCTCAGCATACAAATACATACGGATGTTGTCTGAGAAGACTAACATCTTCATTTATCATCATCAAGGTTCATTTCAACATATGTAGTGTCTCTTATTCGTTCATTTATTCATCTATTCATTAATTCAACATTGATGTTCTACCTCTTACCTACTGAGCAGTAGGCCAGCTCTAGGGCATACAAAATTGAATAAAGTCCATCCCCATCTAACTTAGTTTAGACTTCAGAAAAATGTTAAAAATTGGACAAGCTGAGTGAAAAAAAAATGCTTTGAGATATCGGCACTGGCGCTTTTTGCTGTGTGATCTTGGATGCAGTCTTTAACTTCTCTGAGCTTTAAGTTCCTCCTGACACAATTCCCCAAAGAACTGCTGTAAGGACTGAAGATAGAAGGTTTGTAAAGCTATTCCAATGGCTGGAGTCTAGTGGGACCCTCAGCTAGTTAATATTATTTCCCCTCTGGAAACTCCCAGTTGGGCTCAGGGAGGCTTGGGTTAATTTTGGTGGGAATGGTTAGGGACTTGAAAAGGTTGGCGCGTGGGAGGCAGTGTGGGGTGGATCTCAGGCAGCCAGGTCAGCATGTGGGTTTCGGACCCACGCCAGCACAGAGGTGGAGAGGGAGGGTGTGTCTGTATGCTGAGGGTGGACAGGAGGGAGGGAAGCCTGCTCAAAACCAGGCCTTGTCCTGTGGGCAATAAATAAGGATTGTTTGTTTTGATGAAAATAACTAGCTTCTGGAACTCTGAGTGCTGTTCTGTACGCGTTCCCATCACTTCAGGAACTTACTGTGTCTCTGTTTGATTGAGCCTGGGCATGAGATAAAACACGAGGTCATCTGCAATGGCGCTGGTGCTGTGGCTGTATCAGCATGGCTCTGGGTGATTCTTCGGGGCAGGCAATAGTTCAGGGAGGACTTACAAGCAAGCTCTGGTAAGTGGTAAGTGGGGCTGTGCCCATGAAGGCGCCCCTGCATGCATTCTTACAGAATGGATAAGGAGGCCTGAATCTGCCTTATCGTTCAGCACAGGGAGGAAGGAATCAGGTGCCCACTTGTGACTCTGCTTTCGAGCTGGACTAGGTGGGCTGCTCTGAGGAGGGAAGGGGGCAGGAGCAGGAAGGGACAGTGAGACAACCTGCTCTGTCCCACTCAGGACACAGCCCTCCCCAGCCCCAGGTTCCACTGGAGGAGTCTCTCAAGTTTCTGTCTCAACCTCCTTCTGCCTCTCCACCCTCCCCTCACCCAGGCTCCTGCATGTCAACTCCCCACCCACTGCCTTGAATCTTGGCTTGAGCCTCGTGTCCTTCCTTGTCTGCACCTGGTGCTTTGGTCCAGGCCTTCTAGTTTCAGTTCTGACTGTATTAACATCTCACCCCTCTGGAACTGCGTGAGTTTCCACCCCAAGACCAGGCCTACGTGTTCTCATGTCCAGCTTGGGCCTCAGAGATACATGGCGAGGGCCTGTTCTCTTGCCCCATCTGGGCAGGGAGACTGGACATCAACACGCAGCTTCTGTTTTTTCTGCCTGACCTCCTTTCCCTCTGCACCGCTTCCAAAGCCCTCTCCCTCCCTCCTTCCCTTTCTTCTTCTTCCCCTTCCCCTTCCTTCCTCTCCTTCTTTTCTCCCTGCCTCACCTTCCGTATCTGCTACACTGTTTGACCACACTAAGGCTTTAGCCCTAGCAAGCAGACAAGCAGAGTGAGCTCAGAGGCCTTGACTGAGACAGGGCTCCTTCTGGGAGTGGTGGGTGGTTGCCCCTGGGCAGCCTGGGCTGAGAGGTCAGCAGGATAAGGCCTCGCCATAGAACTATGTGGAATCTCAGGAATCTGCTGCGGAGTGAGTATGTCCTGAGGGAAGAGAGCCTGCTCTGGCCTGAAAGCACTGTGTGCGGCTCCTCGATCTGCACAGTGGCTCAGTCCACCCCACTCCTAGGTGGGAGGAAACTGTTCAGCCTTCCTTCTCTTCCGTTCCGATCTCCCACTACCATAACCACACTAGGGGGAGGGGTCTGAATTCAGCTCATCTCAAAGCAATTTGGAAAGACAGATGCAGGCTGCCCGTGGTGAGTCTCCGGAAACCAGCTTTCTTCCCCTAGCTGTTCATGTTGGCATCGGGTGGGCTGCATAACCAACATTTACAGAATTAATGGGCTCTGAGTCTCAAGTGAATACAGCAGAAACAAGAGGGGCCATGTCACTTTACATTGTAAGACTCAGAGCATGGAGTTTCAGTCTCTCTTGATCTGATCTGTTTACTCACTTGTAAAGTAGGGGAAGTTCTAGAGCAGGACAAACAGGTTAAATGAGATGAGGGTTGAATGCCGAGCAAAGCTAGCAGCTGCTCAATAAATGTGGCTCCTGGAATGACAATTACAATTATTGCCTGCTGCCAGGGTAGCAGCGAGCAATGGCATCAGTGAAGAGCTGGAACCCATAAGCTTCAAGCTTTGGTTTTTCTCCATTCTCACTCTGGTAAAAGTCCCAGGAAGAGGGTAAGGAAAGGAGAGACTTCGGGATTCTGTTCTTTATGACCTAGGAAAGGAATGGGCCATCTTCTTGCCTCTGTTTTTAAAATCAAAACTAGCCCTGAAGAAGATTTAGCTCTGGGTCCCAATGTGGCCTCTGCCTCTAACTGTGTAACTTTGGGAAAATTACCTCTCTAACCTAACTCTTTATTTATCTGTGAAATTCCTATCTCACAGGAATGTTGTGAGGATTGCATGAGTTAATACCTATGGAGAAGTTAACACAGGGCCTGTGGGGCACAGAGCATGCGCTCAATAAATGGTCATTATGATTATACTTAATTGCCATTTTAGGAACTTGAAGTCTCAAGAGATGACAAATAGTCAATTCTCAAAAAATGAAGAAAAGGAAAACTGGTTTCTTCATGTTTGCTAACCCTATCTAGAGCTATGGTTTGGGCCTATAAATTCACTGTGTTTAAATCCTCATTGCACTGATTTCTGTCTTCCGGAAAATGACTTCATGGTGTTTATGTCTCTGAACCATCCTGTCAGAGAAGATCTTACTACTCCTATTTTTTTTTCTTTCAAGATGGAGTCTCGCTCCGTCGCCCAGGCTGGAGTGCAGTGGCGCGATCTCGGCTCACTGAACCTCCCCCTCCCTGGTTCAAGTGATTCTCTTGCCTCAGCCTCCCTAGTATCTGGGATTATAGGCCCCCACGACCATGCCTGGTTAATTTTTAAATATTTTTAGTGGAGACGGGGATTCACCATGTTGGCCAGGCTGGTCTCAAGCTCCTGACCTCAAGGGATCCACCCGCCTCAGCCTCCCAAAGTGCTGGGATTACAGGCATGAGCCACCGCTTCCGGTCTACTCGCTCTTTGTTTCCAAGGATAGTCAAGTGAAGGAGTGGGAGTGGAGAAGGAACAAAGAAATCTGTAACTGCTTGTGATCAATTAGTTGTAAATATCAATACCACTGCACGTGGACCGGCTAATACTTCCATTTTAAATACGAGAAGGCAGAGGTTCACAAAGGTGAAGTGATTTATCTAAGGTTTTATGTCTGGTTTGTAGAGAGCCAGGACCCAAATCCAGACCTCTCCCTGCAGACCCTGGCCCTTCCTCTTTCCTGTGCCAATGCCTTGAGGGGACCCTTCCCACGGTCCCCTGGGCCACACCCTGCTCCCCTGACCCACCGGGCTGCTGAGATCACCTCTTTCAAAGGGTCCGCTTTGGTTCCACTTTGCCATTAGACTAAAACTTTGGGACTCTCAAAACTGACAAGTCCCAGACATTATGATTATGAAACATCACAGAATGCCCCTGGAATTTTATTGTGTTAAGTCAGCAGGTTGCTTCTATTTGTACAACAGAGAAACTATCAACGGCTGGGCACTTCTATGTCTCTTGCCAAAATTCCTGATGCTGCTATATATTTCACTCCTTTCCCTTTTGCCTGTCTTGTACTTCTCTCTATTCAATTTCCTATGCAAAGCAAAAGAAGCCCCCAGATTGATAAGATCCTCATTTAATAGAAGGTAGAAAAGATTAGTCACAACAGGGCTCAGAACTGACCCAATTTTTCTGCAACCTGAGCCTCCTGCGTAAGATCCCTTGGTGGTTATTAGCTTAGCCTGTAAGATGCAGGCTTTGCAAAGTGATGTGGCATGTGGACGATGCTGGAAGAGCAATGCTTGGCCTGCATCCAATAGAGAGAGGCAGAGCTCAGAATGCTGCAAGGAGTCAGGCCAGCTCTGCTAAGGGCAGAGCCCATCACAAGGCCTCAGGTAGGGGTCTGTGGTGGGCAGAGGTGGTGCAGAAGTGAAGTGGGCCAAGATGAGGCTGCTTTGCAGAGCATGTCTGGGAGCCAGTATTTCACCAGCAGCCAAGCACTCACCAGCTCCATCAGCCTTCATTTACCAGCATCTTATTGAGTGTTTTCTCTATGCCGGGAAACTGCTCCTCCCACTGCGCTTCCATAGCAATTCACTTGCAGCTCGTCTAGAGCATGTATTTTGTTCTTCCTAATATTATTGTCAGCTTTTTTATATTCTTCCATTAGATTTTAAGTTTCTTTAGATCAGGAACTGTCTCTTAATCATCTCTGGCCTTTGAGCCTTGCAGAAGTAAGTGCCCAGCATGCATTTATTGAGTAACTAAATTAATGAATCAATGAATCAGTCAATTGCTCAATAAACATTTATGAACTATATACTCTAGTAGGATCTTGGCAGGATGACTGCTTTTCTGAGCTAGAAGCTCCATAAAGGAGGCCTTCTTATAAAGAAACTCTCTTTCTTTGTTACTTGACTATCCCCTAAAGTAATGAAACTTACAGGCCACAAGTATGGAAATGGCTGATGCAAAATGATTATAATTTGGTAGGTGGGATTAGGTGCCTATGCTGTGGTTGAAATATAAGAGTTCAGTTCTCTTTTAGCGAGATGTTTTTAGAAGTTTGGGAGGTTACTTATGCATGGGGAGCCCAGTCGCTGAATGACTGGTCATTCTCATTAAGAATCAAGATGATACCAGGTGGCCCCATAAGAGATAGTCAATGTGGCTATTTCTTAGGACTGGCTGCAACTTTAGAACATCTCTTTACTCGGTGTAGGTGGCTTAGACTGGGACCATCTTTGGAAGTTCTGTTCTTCCCCCACTTGGGAGGATCTGATTTTCTTAGGTGAGAATGACAGGCTATCAGAATGCACCCCCATAGATACTTTTCACCTTCAGCCTGTACCATGCCCTAAATGAAGTGATAAGAAACCATATTCTTTAATACACCTTTTGCTTAGGTGTCCCCGCTTCCTTTCCTAATAGATATTTGGAGGATGAAAATGGAATTTAACTTATGCTTATGTTCGTTTGTGTCCTTATGTAAATGGCCACTTGCTAAAAAATGAGTTCTGAAGCAGAATATTAAAACAACTACCATTTAGTGAGTTTTTACCTGCCAGTCACTGGTAAGCACTCTGCATGCATCATCTTTCTTTAATTCACGAAGTTCCACTATGAGGTGGGCATTTTAATTACTATTGTATAATTGAGGAAACTGAGTTAGTGGCACCTAACTCTAACTTTTCCAAGGGTCACCAGGTCCCACCCTGAATAAATGACAGAGCCAGGATTCCATCCCAAACCTATCAAACAGCAATACCATTCTCATTGCCACCATGTTACTGGGTGCTATGTCAGTGGCTGTGAGCATCTGAGGATGAATATCTTCTGTTTCCCCTCTAGATGCTCAGGGAACAAACTTGCTAACATCACAGGAATATGTCTCAGCCCTCACTCCAACAGATATTCCTATGCAATTGCACTACAATTTCACCTGGGATTCCTTGGGCATATATACCCTATAAAAGTTAACTCAAAGGGAAGCTGAAAATATCCTATGTTAAGACTTAGATTAGATACTAGGAATTTTTGTTTTTTCCCTTTGATGAGCTGAAGGCCCTTAGCTGTCAATGGCTTCCCCAAACTCACTTTTACCATTCGAATCCAATGACATGGGATGTTGACGGGCGAATGTGTGTTTTCCTGCCCATCTGGTTTGGCTTCAGCACCTGTGAGACAGGTGTGTGCAGGGAATTTTAGCAGTCCTTTAGAGGAGCAGTAGGCAGGGGTGGGCCATCAGTGGTGGCCACTGAATGAGGCTGGAGCTTCAACTATGTCTTGGAGAATAGCCCTTACTACATAGTGAAGGGCTCCTGTGACCTTAGGGACAGGCTGTTGAAAACCAGTGAGACAGGATGCTCAGGATGTGGAAATATAGCTCCCTGAAGGAGGTGAGTGACCTTCCACATACTTCCATTTCCTTTTGTCTTGGAGTGCTCTTATCAGAAAGCCATCTGACCCACAATTTCTCCCCACCTCAGTCAATGATGTTGGAAATTCCTTTAGGATGTGAGGTTTAAAGTGCAACTGCCCCTTGAAAAGACACCCTTCCGTCCACGTGACCTGTAATACTGTTCATATTTGCATGGAGGTTTACAGCAATATGGAAGTATTTGCGCTTCCTCATCTCACTGTGAATGCTCCTAGCAATCCATAGGCAAGATACCCTGTTTATGTCTTGGTTTATGTAAAAGGAGAGCAAGGTCAAGAGAGCTGGAGTGACTTACTCCCAGGCAGTAGGTGACAGTGATAGAACTGAGACCTGGAGTTTATGGTTCTGAGCCCAGAACTCTTTTCACCACACCAGAGCTACTTCAGACTTAGCCATATTTGTGTACACTGAGTTATAGGTGGCCATTGTCCCAGCTGCTGGTCTTGCTAGTAGAAAGAGAGGGAAAAAGCCTGGGGTACCTGCAGGAAGTGGGACCTGAGGCGACACAGGGAGGACTGAAGGTAGAGAACGATGCAGGAAGGGGGTGGCATCCCGATTGTCAAATGGTGAGTCTGCTTTTAGCTCAGAAGTGGCCACAGGAACTCCTCCTAGTCCTTTAAGCCCTTAAAAAATTTTTTTTGTTATTGTTATGACTTGCCTGGAGCAGTGAAATGTTTTCTCCAGCTAAGCAATAATAGAAGACAGTGAGAAGATGCCAACTCAGTGATCCCATGGGAAACCTTCTGGACTGTGGCGTTTACACAAGAGATGAGGTCAGAGGGGTGGCTACCGGCTTGGTGGACTGAGAGCGCAGCAGAGCACCCCAGGGGCTGCAGAGGCCAGATCCCCAGCTGCGGGGGCACAGGCAATCCTTCTCAGGCACGAGAGGGGCGGTGAGGGAGACTGTTTACATTTCTTGCCCTGGTTGGTTAAAAACAGCTCAAAGGCACCATATTGTGTATTCTTGATAAAAAGAAAGATAAAAGGAGCAAGTGCCATTGCACCCAAGCTCATGCTTTCTTCCTCCTTTTGCTCCTTCATTCAGTCCTTCTCGTCTGTTGAGCATGTAGGAGAGCGCTGGCAGGTGCTGGGGATTCTCAGATCCTGTCCTCAAGTAGCTCCCAGTTTAGATGGAGAGGCAGACATGTCAATAAAGGAATTGTAATTCAGAGTGTTAAATACCCAAAAAGAACATAGAACTAGGCAGAGAAGCAACAGGAAAGGGGCAGAATTAACTCTAAAAGAAGTATCCACAAAGGCTTCCTGGAGGAAGAGTCATCTGAACTGGTACAAACCCTGCACATGTCATGAGTGCACAGTTAACGAATTTTCACAAACTAGAGTAAAACCATGTAACTAGCACCCAGATCAAGAAACATGACTAGCATCTGCCACCATCATCAAGGGGTAACCACTCTCCTGACTACTAAAGCATAGGTTAGTTTTGCCTATTTTGAACTTTACATAAGTGGAATAATTCTGCAAAAACTCTTTGGTGTCTGAGTTGGAACTGAAAGAACAAATGGGGATTTTTCAGGGCACAAGGTAGAAGAGGCCATTGTGGGAAGAAGGGGAAGTACAGTTACCTGTTGCTTAATGATGGGACACATTCTGAGAAATATGTCATTAGGCGATTTTATCATTGTGTGAACATCATAGAATATACGTACACAAACTTCGACGGTATAATCTTCTACACACCTAGGCTACCCACAAATACTTAACCACTGTGCTACAATTGCCTACAATATTTGGTATCTTAACACGACAGTA